AGGGCTGTGGGACGGTCCTGAGGGCTGTGGGACGGTCCTGAGGGCTGTGGGACGGTCCTGAGGGCTGTGGTTGGGTGGGCTCCTGGCCCTGGGGCATCCCGTGCTGACGGTCTCGTGTTTTTCAGAACATGACCCAAACGGGACGGCATCGTGGGCACAAGACGCACCTCCACCGGCAGAACAGCTGGCTGGGAGACATACTGGACTGGCAGGACATCGCTTCCTTCGTGCAGGAGAACATCGAGACCCTGCTCTCAGTGAGTGGATCACCCTCGCGCTCCTCACCTGCACCTCAAAGCTGTCTGCGCCTTCCACCATCTCCCCCCACCCTTCTGACCCCACCCACATAAACAAACAAACAAGAACTGTTGCCAGAATAGTTGTTTGTCATAAGCACATGTCTTTTTTTCGGACATCCTCACAAAATTTGTTTACCAATGTTGTTACGTTTTACTCAGTTTTTCCCCACAAATATGTAAATCTGTAAAATATTTACTCATTCATCTGACACTTTCATGCAACGCAATTTATCGTAGAAAGAAGGGTTACAATTGATGTGTGCTTCCTGGGATACGAACCCACGACCTTTGTGTTGTTACTTCAATGCTGTACGTGTTCATCTACAGGAGCCACTATTTACAGTATGTGTGACTGTGTATTTCACACTGAAAAGTAAGATGTAAGAGGACAGATAAGCTCCCTTGGGGATTAAACCCTAATTGGCCGTATGGAAGCCTTCAGTTCTGCGCTCTGGTGTAGCTCCCTTCCACTGCCCAGCTGGTCATTGGCACTGCGGTCTGACCGCCGCTGGCATGTCAGTGACTTGCAGTGAGAATGAGCGGGACCCGTCGCTCCCTCGGAGCCCCATTGTCCTGGAGCAGCGTGACGCCGTGTTTGGACGTGGCGCTCGGCGTTCTCTGCCGTTTCCCATTGGCCGTCAGCGCGGCGGGACCAGATGGTCAGGAGAATTCTGGGATGCGGCCCCACCGGTGGGCCGCGCAATTAACCGAAGTCATCCTGTCGCAAACGTGGCCGCCCGCCCGCCGGCCGAGGGGTGACATCACACCGCAGTGCATGCTGGGTGACGAGGCGACCGCTCCCTTGTTCTCGCAGATCGTGGAGTCGCTGTGGGTGGTGATGAGCCGCAATGTGGGCCTGCTGATCTCCACCACCACCACGCTGCTGACGGTGCTGGTCCACAGCGGCACGGCGCTGCTCAACTTCGCCCTGTCGCTGGTGAGCCTGTCACCCCCGCTAACTGATTTATCATGAGTTTGATTGCCATAAGGCAGGGAACATTCTAGAAGAGATCAGTCAATTGGAGGCAACACACACCACACACACACACACACACACACACACACACACACATACATACATACACACAGACATACACACATCATACGCACACAGACACAAACATACACACACCACACAGACATACACACAGACATACACACACCACACATACATACATACACACACAGACACACATACATACATACACACAGACATACACACATCATACGCACACAGACACAAACATACACACACCACACAGACATACACACACACATACACACACCACACATACATACATACACACACACACACACACAGACACACATACATACATACACACAGACATACACACATCATACGCACACAGACACAAACATACACACACCACACATACATACATACACACACACACACACACACACACAGACATACACACATCATACACACACACACACATACACACACACACACACATACATACATACATACATACAGACATACACACATGTATGGAAGGAGGGGGGTCCTCTGGTGGTTTGCGGGAGGATGGACGATCCCCGGAGAGCCCCTCCCATCCCTCTCCTCTACCGCCCCCCCCCCTGCCCGCGTTGTCTCTCCCTCTGGCAGTTTTGGCAGCTCCTTGCCTTGTGCGTGTGCATGATGGCCGCTTTCCTTGTCAGGTGATATTCCTCACCACCCTCTTCTACCTGCTGAGTTCCAGTGGTGAATATTACAAGCCTGTCAAGTGGGTGATCAGTCTCACCCCCCTGTCTCAGTCCGGACCCTCGTCCAACATCATCGGCCAGTCGGTGGAGGAGGCCATCAGGTCAGCGGGAGGGGGGCGTCCATACAAATTCACACGCACCCACACGCACACGTTTGTATTCATATCTTTGTGGGGACCGTCCATTCGTTTCTATTGGGAAAAACCCTAATCCTAACAATGACGACCTTAGCTTCTATCCGGCCCTAGCCTTAACCAAACAAAAATAACAAACAAAATACAGGACTTTTGGCTGTTTTAGGTTTTAAATTGCAGTCACAGTTTTTATACAATTGGTTTTCCCCTTGTGGGGACTGAAACATCCCCACAACATCAGAGGTTTTTATCACAGACGTTCTCACAACATAATATATACATGACCGCACGCACGCACGCGCGCGGTATAAAGACAGTCAGAGAGACATACTCTCACAGTTAAGCGGAGACTGTGTGTGTGTGTGTGTGTGTGCGCACGTGTGTGTGTGTGTGTGTGTGTGTGTCCTCCTGCTGGCTGCCTGACGCTGGTGACCTGGCTTTGCTTGTGCTCTTCAGAATGCAGGGACTCCTTACATGCAGCCCTGTAAATGTGTGTTGACTGGTAGCTAAGCGACCAGGATCCTGACGGCTGCTTTGGTGAAGCTCACTTCAGGGGTTCAGCACAAGGGGACAGTTCCACTGAAACTCGGTTAACTAGAGCAGGGTTCTTCAAATCTGGACCTCGATTCCAAATCCAGGCCCTGTTTTCAGTTCTCCCAGGTAGTTGTTTAATAATTACTGATTCTGATTGGTCAGAGGCTTCACACCTGACTGACAGGTAAAGGAAGGCTGGAAAACCAGCAGTGCTCGGACCTCGAGGACCGTGAGTTGAATAACCCTGAACTAGAGTATTCCATCTGCTAGATGTTTTCTGTCCTCTGAGTGGTGACATTCCTCCAAAGTGCTTGAGAATCAGCGGGGAAAACCTAAAATACCTGGCTAGTCATAGTTAATATGGGCAGGAACATCACTGATACAGAAGCCTCTGGTCTGTTCTCCTTCCACCCTGTGGAGGGCGCCCTCACTGCTCTTGGGACCTGACTGAGCCTGTACGCCTGTGCAGGACTGGTGCCCTTTCAGGGGGGGTGATTTACAGGCTGCGCACTAAAGTAAAAGTTCAACGCTGGTCCAAGTCAGCTTCCCAAATGCCACGTCCTAAAATGCACCCAGTCACACTAGAGCCCTTGTGTTCCCAGACGTGTCTGAATGCTTAACTAATCGCTTTATAAAAGTCAGTGAACAGGCACAAAGTGAACCGGGAATAAGATACCAGTGTGTGATTCCAGTGGAGCCTCTGTAGACTGTGATGTTGGAGATGTACATCCCGTCAGGAATGTCCTACATAAAACATTATTTCAAACCTTTACTGTTACTGTAATGTTCAGGCAAAAACTTTGCCTTACTGGCTGACTATAAGTGTTGCAGTAAGGCAGTGTTTCCCAGCTTCCAATGAGCGTCGTGTTCATGTACACACATGCCTCTCTTCCCAGGGGAGTCTTTGACGCCTCGCTCAAGATGGCCGCCTTCTACGGCCTCTACACTTGGCTGACCCATACCATCTTTGGCATCAACATCGTCTTCATCCCCTCTGGTGAGTCCTGAGGCAGACGTGCACATATGAGGGTGACGGGATGTGAATCAGCAACCCGGGATTCGCTTGATCCCTCACCCACAAGTAGCACTGCTATTTACTGGACACTGCGATTAATGGCAACACGATTGCACAGTGGTGGACTCTGGAACCTGGTCGCTTACTGCATGTAGGAGTATGTAGAGGACACATTTAAAGGACACATTTACTGAGGCGGAGCTCGAGAGCCGGCGTCGCGGCCCGCTACTCAGGCGGAGCCCGAGAGCCGGCGTCGCGGCCCGCTACTCAGGCGGAGCCCGAGAGCCGATGTCGCGGCCCGCTACTCAGGCGGAGCTCGAGAGCCGACGTCGCGGCCCGCTACTCAGGCGGAGCTCGAGAGCCGGCGTCGCGGCCCGCTACTCAGGCGGAGCTCGAGAGCCGGCGTCGCGGCCCGCTACTCAGGCGGAGCTCGAGAGCCGGCATCCACGCCGCTGATGGGAAGAGGAGAGCCAGGATGCTCAGGGTGGGCGTTGTCTCCTCCATCTCTCTGTCGTTTTCTTCCTGCTTACAAATACCCGGACTTGCTGACCATTTCTCCATCTGAGGGTTATACTGGGTTATACTGGGTAGCACCCAGGTGGTCCTGGATCAGGCACTCTGACGCTTCCATCTGGCGGAAAATACACTGGGAGACATTAACCGTGAAAGCACCCCACCCAGCAAGTCCGCAGTCTGAGGTCAGTTCTGGCCTGGCGGCGCGCCATGGTCACCATGGTGATCCCTCTCCTCAGCACCTGATGTGCTCGCTTGTTCCTGCACCGCAGAACAGTACAGTGCTGTGGTGTGTGTGCGAATGCCATCAGCTCGCTGTCCTGAAGGGGCATCGGAGGGCTGATCTAGGGCAAAGATCTCGGCGCCTCCTCATCCTGCCGGGGGGGGTGGCAGGGGACTGAGGGAGAATCTGCTGCCGTAATCACATAGATAAATTCAAGCTTTACGTTTCCCATATTTGACTAACTGGACCTCCCCCCCCCCTCCACCAACCTAGGATGGGGTGTTGAAAATTTCCTTTATCCACAGTCATGTCCCCAGGCTGTCTGTCATACAGAGTGAAATTCAGCATTTCAGCACATCCTGGGCGACTGGAAAGTCCTACAGAAGCCAAACAGCATTTTACATCTTAATTTCTCATAATTATACTTATTAAACTGATGCTTGAAGAAAATGTCGCCATTTTCTCCTCAGATTTTTTCTATCCCTATATTTTGGAACATGCATCTCAGGGTTTTATTCAGTGTGGTCCCTGCCCAAAACTCCACCCACCTTCCTAAAATAACACTTGCTTTACAAGTAGCCTGGAGCAAAGGCACTTCTGATCAGATGGTCTCCCAGTAGGGGGCGCACTTCCATCCACAGCAGACGTCATTCTGGGCCCGGAGTTCTTGGCGATACGCCCTTATACTGAACACTTTCCCATTCCGTCTCTGCCTCCTGCCCGCTGAGCCACCTCCCCACATCAATTGTCGGGTCTCTGGGAGTGGCTGTGCTTGAACCCTGGGCCTGTGGACCGGGCCTGGATATACCATCGTGCCGTGTGCCTTCGCCTGAAGGCGCCGGTCTGCTGGAGCTCGAGGGAGGCAGACTGCCCATCTGTCACGAGTCAGACATCATGTATGCTGGCCCAGAGATCTCTGCTGTGTGACTGGAACCATTGGCGCGTGGAGCAGAGGCATCTACAGGAATGCCGACAGCTCCTGCCTGGACCTACAGGTCCTTGGCGCGGGCTGGATTCCTAATTTTTAGTGTGTTTTTAAATTGTATTTTCCAGAAAGGCCTGCAGATCGAGGCTCCCCCTGCGCTGCGTAAATCCACAGCAAAGTCACTCTGAAGCTGCCCCTGATTATCCTGGCTGCCGTGGTCAGGGGGCAGTTCTCAGCTTTATACCCCCAACGTGAGAAATTGATTTTTGTTGTCTTCCCCCCACCATGCTCATGCCACACCTCCCTCTCTTCTGGCAGCCATGGCCGCCATCCTGGGTGCGGTGCCCTTCCTGGGCACATATTGGGCAGCGCTGCCCGCTATGCTGGACCTGTGGCTGGTGCAGGGGGAGGGCGTGATGGCCGTCCTGCTGCTGCTCTGCCACCTGCTGCCCACCTACTTTGTGGACACTGCCATCTACTCTGACATCTCTGGGTGAGATCCACACGCCTGTGTGTGTCTGTGCGTCTATGTGTGTGTGACTCTGATAAGATCACTGTCAGTTAGGCTCAGAGTTCTGTGACCATGGAGGACCAGGCTAACGCTAAACCTTAGCATCCAGGATGGAGCCAAAAGATTAGCAGCAGCTTTCAAAGACCTACAACATCTGACTTTGTCTAGCAGAGGGGAGGGTTGGGTTTGGCAGGATGACAGGAATATGATACAGGCAGAACCTCAAGAAGGACCAGGACCAGCTGTCAATAGTCCCCAGGCTAGGATTGTAGGTCCACTTTCACCAGGACATGGACCCCAAACACAATGAACCCTTGAGCATCTGAGTCCAGACTTGGTGCCACAGGAAACTCGGGGGCGACTCCCAAGCCACGGTCTCTGGGGCTGATGTTCTTCCAGCCTTAGAAATGGCAGAAGCTTGTGGGATGACCTTTATCGCAGTGAACCTCCGTAGAATGTCACCTGATGTTGTCCCCCACCTGTCCCCCAGCGGCGGGCACCCGTACCTGACCGGCCTGGCGGTGGCGGGGGGGGCGTACTACCTGGGGCTGGAAGGGGCCATCATCGGACCCATTCTGCTCTGCATCCTGGTGGTGGCATCCAACATCTACAGCGCCATGCTGATGAGCCCCAGCAGCTCCCTGCCCACACCTGTGCAGCCCACCTGGCCCCCCGATGTCCCCCGGTGAGCTCAGCCCCCACGCCTCTCCAACACTGACCTCTGTTTTTCTTACCGTGTTATTTTCTTTTCTGATCTCTTACCACCAAAGTGTTTGTGTGTGTTAGTTCAGTTCCATGAAGCATTTCATTTTATGGTGGATGGGAATCTTTCTATTGGCCACTACAACAACCCCTCACGCCCAGTCCAGCCTGATTGGACAGACCCTCACCCTTCCAGCGCTGCCCCGGCAGCTGACTGCCAATCAGGCTCCGTTCTGTTCCCAGTGTCAGTTACCACTAGTGCAGCGGTTGGTCATATTTGTGGCCATGTGACCTATTGCCTGGTAAACTTGTCAGCACAGATCACAAGATGCTGCTCTTGGTTGGTTATCACTGCAGTTTTATTGTGGGTGAAGGAAGAGTTCACTGCGATTTGAAACTGTCCAGGCAGAATTATATATTTCCTCCAGCATCAAAAGCATGTACCCGTTTACAGCCCATGCCATAGGCTGCAGGAATGTCAGCTGATTCCCTGCTAAAACCACGACTCATCCCTATTCCATTCCCATTGGTGGATGAATGGTCACATGCTATATATACTGTATGTGTGATTCAGCATCTTATTCCAAGAGTGAGACTATTTAATCTCCGTGATGCAATAATAATGGGTGCCCAGAGGCTGCAATCTTCAACTTATTATTTGACCATTTGGAAGGTTGAGAAAATGCTATTTTTATGTGTTTCTTTAATGAGAACATTTCACATGAAATCGGGCTTTCTGTAGAGGTTAATGTTGTGGACGCAGTGCCTGGAGCACAGTGCTCTGCTGTTCTGCGCCGCTTTCATGAGGACTGAGAGAGACGAAAAAGGCAGAGGAGGATTCTGTGTCTTTGTACAGATACAGAGGATCTGCTTCCTGTTTCAGGCCTGTCATGGCGTGCGGACTTGAAATGAAATGGTTACGTCGGTCCTGCCCTGAAATGCGGTCGGTCAGAAAGCAGTTTTCTGTTGGACCTTGGAAAATCTGAACCATCTGGAAATATGAAACCCGCAGTCTGTGACCTTTTATTTGGACTTTAGTTTTGTCGGGTCTGGACGTTTCCATTTGAGACCTTCGGTTTTATTTCACAGAATCAGGGTCATCCACCATTGCTCCCCCTGCTGGTTGCCTCGGAGAAGGTGATGCTGACATTGACATCATCTTTCTCCCTCCTCTCTCCCCTCCTCCTCGCTGGTCCCCCCCAGGCTGTTTGTGGACAGCACTGGCCAGCAGAAGGGTACAGGCGAGTGACTGGGCGAGCCTGTCACCAGGGCGGAGGGACGACAGCATCTGGCTCTTCCTGGAAAGGAGACCGGCGTCACGCTTCAGCCAGCTGGCCCTGGAGGGAATGGAGTCAGGACCTCCAGCAGTACAGCGCAAACCCTGAAAGCCTGGAAACCCTGGCTTTGTTTAGCTTTAACATGCATTTCCTGCAGGAGCCATACATACTCACCTCAGCAACAGAGAGCGTCCCACGTCGCTTCGTCCCCATCTGGGCCTGGAAGAGACTGAGATACCCAGCAGAAACCCCAGAGGGGGGTAGTAATCCATAGGGGGCAGTGTGGACCTGGCAGGAGACCACCGGAGCTTCGCAGTGCCATGCTTCATGTTAGTGTTACAGGATAAACGTCCTCAGGCCATGAGGAGCTAGACTGCTGCTGTTTTGGGTAGAGCGGAAGGCTTCCTTCACACTCTTCATCGCCCCGCTTTGGCTGCTCGGTCTTGCGCAGTAGGGTTTGCTAAATGTGCCTCAGAGTTCCTGTAGAAACGCAGTTCTCTGAAGTACCTGTAACACCTTAACACAGGTGTTTCTTAACGCTTAACACGCTTAACACGCGTCTACCGCCACGCTCCTTCAAGGCCATGTAACAGAGCTGCTCATCGGATCCCTAACCCTCAGCCGGGGTGCCGCTCGCTGCGTTTGGCCCACGGGCCCGGCCCCCCCTCCATGATAGATGGAGGCTGTGACGACTCGCACGCAGGAACACAGAACCCCGGGCCTGCATATTTCAAGCCAGCTGCCGATTGGTGGAGTGCGTTTCCGTGACAAGCGGTTCGGGGGGAACGGAGGGGTGTCCGAGTCTCCTGGCACCGTGACTCTGAGCACCGTGACTCTCACGGCACCGTGACTCTCACGCTCATGAAGCCCCTGGTGACTCGGCAAGCTCAGCTAGGGGATTCGTCTGACCGTCATTCCCTGGAGAGCAGGAAAGTCGTTCCCTGTCTTCTTTCTCGGTTTTATTTCCCGGGTCCTCCTCGGACGCCGTGTCTCCTTCCTCGGCCTATTTTCCCCTCCTCGCCTCCCCCTTTCAGTGACGTCCGCTGGTAGGTCCCAGGAATGCAGGGGAAGGCAGTAATGTTACTACACAGACACGGGCTCTGCCCACATGTCGCCAGTTAAGCTCGGTAATTGGTGAATCTGAAGTTGAACACAAAGTAAAACCAGAAGAATGCCGTTCTGTATCAGAGGGGAGGAGCTAGGCTCTCTGAGACCGGCCGAGGGGAGGAGCTAGGCTCTCTGAGACCGGCCGAGGGGAGGAGCTAGGCTCTCTGAGACCGGCCGA